GTCCAGCAAGCGTGCACACACAGACTTAGTAGCAAGCGGGAAACTCAGCAGGGCATTCAGTCTATGGGCAAAACTCATAAATCAGCTGTGTGTTTTAGTCCATGTATGGACGGGTCATCACACAATGAAGAAAGCTGAAAAATCTAGGATGCGGAGCAAGCTCCATGTGGAGTCCATGCGATGCAGACTACAATGTCAAATGAAAAATAAACGTCTGGTATACACATCCTAACTAACAACAGAAAATGACCTGTAGCAAGATACAATCCTAAAGTCCTAGAGGCAATTGCCTTAGTGCGGAAAGGAAAAGAGAGCAATATGTGACAAGTAATGTCATGTCGCTGAACCACTAAGAGCGGGATGGTCTTAGAGGGGGTGAATGCAGCCTAAGAATCGAAACTCCTAAGGGCAGTCACACACGAGGTGGGGTAGGTCATCAGGCTTAGGGTGAGGGAGTGGTAGCGATGCAAAACCAATGACCCTAACAGATAGACCATCAAGGCGGGTAATGCTCGACGAATATGTGACACCATGCAGGGTCGACCATGAAAGGGGAGCCTGGAATAGAGTGGACATATGCCTAACTAAAGGCATGCAATGGCCAGCATTAGGGTGATGAGGGATGCAGTGGGAGGGAAACATGCATACAACTCATTGATTGGGGGAGGGAGCTAGATCCAGGAGCAGGGAAGCCAAGATAGCGCTACAGTCTCAATGCCTATGCGATACCAAGGGAGAGTTGAACTTAGAGAGACCCAGCTAAGTGAGAACCATCATGCGACACATGCAAGGGAATATATAGGGTAGGGTGGTGGTGTGAGGGAGTCATGTCCAAAGTAGTTGAAGCCGATTAGGTAGCTGAAGTGGAGAAGGTAGCTGAAGTCGTCGAAGTGGTCAATGGCGTTGATGAAGTAGGAGTCGAGTCGATGTCGAAGCAGAGCCGCACAACGCTGACATCTTGAAGAAGTTCATGATGGAGTACCTGAAGGTGTGAGTTTGTAGGGAGAAGTAGGTGATCAGACTGTCAGCCATCGAGACGCCGAGGGTGTCGACGAGTGCGTTGTGGACGCGCGGAGGCGTTCGTCTGCTGCTGAAAAACGGCCTCAGAGGGAGCGGGCTCGTCCTCAGCAATCTCCTCAGCCGGAGGAGGAGGAAGAGGGTCAATCGGCCGAGTAAGAGCAGATCTCTCAGCACAATGAACACGGTCATATGCATGCACCAACATCCGGGCGTGCTCCAAGTGCTCGAGAGGCTCCCAAGTAGCCTCCTCATTAGGATAACCCTTCCAACGCACAAGGTACTCGATGCGTGGAGGGGTATCGTCGGTAAGTCGGCGAGATACGATGTCGGAAACGACGAACTCCTCGTGATCGTTGTAGGGTCAAACCCCGTTAGACTTTCGAGCATGTGTTGACCCCATTGCGGGTCCCAGTTGGCTCGGCCCGCCCACGCTCATGCTAAGGGCGCGGGCCATTCGTCACGGGGTCACCCCCACCGAGTGCTTTGAGATGGATGGGGGTGGGCCATCTAGCGAGAGAGATTTGACATTTGGGATGTAGCTCAGCCCTCATGCCGGGTGGTAGGCTCCCTGGTCTTTTCGCAAGCGTAATTTTCCTGATTCTTGATTGTGTTCGCAGGCAACTGCTCCTTCCAATACTCAAGCAATCCAGAGGTTCTTTGAGAGTTCTCTTCCATTGTATGTAGGCTAAGCGCCATCCTTAAGCCACACACCATTTCCCTAACACAACAGTCCTATGGCATCATTGGGGCGCGGCAGTGCCGTCTTCTCCCTTCGCCCCTACGCATTTTCTTGATCCATATATTCCGATCATGGCTTTGTTGTCTGCCCCTTAGTCTTTTTGAGGCCTCCATCCGCATGCAAAGGGCTAATTCACACTTAAGTCGTTCAAAACTTCACTCCCCCTGAATCCGCACTCAAAGTCTCATACACAAAGGCCCCATTCATAGGTAGAGTTTACACTAACACTCGTTGGTCCTTTTCCCTTTCCCATTCCTTTTGCCGCTCGGCCTACCCGGCCCCGTGCCACTCAAGACATCTCAATGTTACTCACCTGCACAATTAAACGCAAATGCAAAGACCAATACAATCCCCCATTGGGGTCAACACATAGCCCTTCCCACATGCCTAACTTTTCTTTCTTTGTCGTTGGCCTCCTTCCATTTCCTTTCTTCTGCCCAATCAATCCATCCTCTTCCTTTAGTCATGCAGTCGGGGTTCTGGTTGAGTCAACTGACCTCTCTTTCAATCAACAATTTTTTCCTCTAGTCTTCTCTGGACTAGTCCACTTTTCGATTTCACAACATTTTTGCGCTCACCGCTCTCCCTTTATTTTCCTTCTTGGTGGCATAAGGGGCCGACAGTCCTTCCCTTGTCCTCTTTCTCCACCAAGTGAGGTCAACTTTCTTTCACCGTTCGTCCCCTGGCAATGTAACAAGTGAGAGGGAGAGGTTAGTTGCATGCCAAGTGGGAAGAGAAAAAGGTTTAGACTTGGGTTATGGGAGGGGTAGAGGAAAGAGGACCAAAGGACGAAATAGAGGAACGGAAGTGAGAGAGAGAGAGAGAGAGAGGGAGAGGGAGAGGGAGAGAGAGAGAAGGAGAGAGGGAGAGAGAGAGAGAGGGAGAGAGAAAGACTCCCTAATCCTAATCAAGCCTTACCCTTACTTGACCTACCGTCCCCCGTTCAAGACCTGAACTGGTACATCACTAAGTGAGAGAAAGACTGAACAATACAAGTGTAACTAGCCTACACATGCACATAGAGCTATAAAGGCAGCAAGATCTGAACCGGTACATCATCAAATGAGAGAAAGACTGAACGACACAAGTGTAACTGGCTTACACATGCACGTAGAGTTATGGAGGCAGCAAGATCTGAACTGGTACATCACCAAGTGAGGGGAAAACTGAACAGCACAAGTGTAACTGGCTTACACATACACATAGAGCTATGGAGGCAGCAAGATCTGAACCGGTACATCACCTAAGTGAGGGGAAGATTGAACAACACAAGTGTAATTGGCTTACACATGCACATAGAACTATGGAGGCAGCAAGATCTGAACCGGTACATCACCAAGTGAGGGAAAGACTGAACAGCACAAGTGTGACTCTCCCACATATGCACAAAGAGCCAAGGAAGCAACAAATCCGAACTGGCACATCATCAAGTGAGAGAAAGACTGAACAGCACAAGTGTGACTATCCTATACACGCGCATAGGGCTATGGAAGCAACAGATCTGAACAGGCACATCCCCAAGTGAGAGAAAGACTGAACAGCATAAGTGTGACTATCCTACACATGCACAAAGAGCCATGGAAGCAACAGATCTGAACTGGCACATCGTTACGTGAGAGAAAGACTGAACAGCACAAGT